GGGGCGGCCGCTGCCGGAGCCACGCCCTTCCCGCTGCCATCACCAGGCCGTGCCCCTTCCACATCTTTGACGTTGACCCTCGTAGAGTGACCCCTGCGACTCCAGCAGGCACACCGAGATGATCCCAGATGGCCTCCCTCCTGGACCCTCCTTAATGCCACCCAACGGCCAAGTCCTTTGGACCACGGGAGGAGGGCGTGGACCCCGGGTGAGGTGAGTGGACCCCGGGTGAGGTGAGTGGACCCGGGGTGAGTGAGTGGACCCTGGGGTGAGTGAGTGGACCCGGGGTGGGGTGGGTGGACCCTGGGGTGAGTGAGTGGACCCGGGGTGAGTGAGTGGACCCCGGGGTGAGGTGAGTGGACCCTGGGGTGAGTGAGTGGACCCTGGGGTGGGGTGAGTGGATCCCGGGTGAGGTGAGTGGACCCTGGGGTGGGGTGAGCGCACCCCGGGTGAGTGAGTGGACCCGGGGTGAGTGAGTGGACCCCGGGTGAGGTCAGTGGACCCTGGGGTGGGGTGAGTGGACCCGGGGTGGGGTGAGCGCACCCCGGGTGAGGTGAGCCTTCGTCTACCAACACCCCTTGGCACCCTGTGAGAGTCCTGTTTCTCGCTTCTCTCTCTTTAGAAACAGCTGGCTGTGTCCTGCAGTCCTGGGGGGAGCCAGGGCCTCCTGTGTGCTGGGCCAGTTCTCCGCCTGGGACCGCCAGCCCGTCCTTTTCACTTTGAAACAGGGGTCAGCTAGTTGTGCAGGCTGGCCTCGAATACAGTCCCCTGCGTCAGTCTTCTGAGTCCTTCTTTTTTCCTGGGTGACATGAGTGTCCCCACTTACACATTCTTCCCTAACATCCTTGTTGAGGGCTGCGTATGTTGCATGCGTCTGTTTCTTCTCCCGTTGACAAGCATTTACCGATGGCTTCCTGTGTGCCGGGCACCAGGCTGGGTGGAGGGTACACACTGAGTGGGGCCACGCAGCTCCTCCCTCCCGGAGCTTGCTGCCCTCCAGGGGCCAAACAGAAGGCCCCCAGGGAAAGCACAGGCTCTAGGGCAGGGGTCCGCACAGCCAGAGAAGGCCACAGCTGAACTGCGCAGAGCGGGGAGGCTGGCGCTGACCGGGAAGGACGCGGCTCCGGGGAAGCCTCAAGTTCCGTGGCTCCTGGCAGAAGGTGGAGGCAAGAATTCTCCTCTTGATCCGTTAAGACAGCATTGGAAAGTCAGGAAGCTCTTGAGGCCGCTGTGATAGGGTGAGTTTAAGAAGCTACCTGGTGCTTGGGAGGCTGAGGCAGGAGGATGGCAAGTTTGAGGCCAGCCTCTGCAACTTAGCAAGACCAGGTCTCAAAAAGTAAAGGAGTGGGTTCTAGTTTGGCGGTAGGGTGCTTGAGCATGGGAGGGACCCTGGTTCCATCCCATCCTGCCATTGAGTGACGGAGAAAGAGGCAGAAGAGGAGGAGGAGGAGGAGGAAGCCTCCTGGGAGGTTGGGGGGGAAGGAGGAGGGATGGGGGATCCGCAGAGGCAAGAGCAGGGGGTTGTCATCCGAAAGGAGGCCGAGGAAGAGCAGCTCAGCTCGCGCCTGCGGAGCCCCTGCGCGTGCTGCTAGGAAGGTCCAGTGGACGGCCACTCTGGAGAGACAGGTCCTTCCTGAGGTGCAGCGCGGAGTCACTGTGTGGCTGTGGCCCAGCCGCGCCCCGGCTCAGCATCTGCCTGAGGAACTGCAGTGCCCTGCGTGGGGAATGGAGGGACAAGAGTGTTTCTTCCCACAGGACACAGAGAGCCACAGCGAGCCGGCGCACGAGGTGGCTGTGTGTTTGTCTGTCTGTCTGTTTGAGGGTCCTGCTCCGTTGCCCAGGCCGGCTTTGAACTCGGTCCCCCTAGGCAGCTTGGCACTACAGGCCGGCCACCGCCCTGGGCTGGAAACCACTCCTTTTGTACAGGTGAGAGAAGCCAGCCTTCAGGTCACAGGTCCCATCCCATCCTAACGAAAGGTCGAGAACGCGCAAAGCCTGGTGGACAGGGGGTTCCCAGGGTGGGCAGGAGGGGTCAGGGCTGCTGGCCCCCCACCAGGAACTGAACCCAGGGGCACCCAACGCTGAGCCACCCCCAGCCCTGTTTTGTGTTTTGAGACAGGTCTCCCTGAGTGGCTCAGCGCCCTCTTGCTGAGGCTGGCTTTGAACGCGAGATCCTCCTGCCTCAGCCTCCCAAGCTGCTGGGAGTACAGGGTGCCAGGCGCCGGCTTAGGGTGGGTGTGTGGGGGGTGAGAGCACAATGCAGCGCCCGTGAATCTACCGACCCCCTGAATCCTGCCGCGGGAGTGGGTGCAGCGCCTGGCATGGGCGCCCTGTCACGTGAAGCTGTCCCCAACTGCGCCCGGGCTGGGCCTGGGGAAGGAGGGGGCTGCGCCGGGTACCGGGAAGCGACTGCGGGGATCCCCTGCGCTGGGGTCTGCCGGCCGAGCTTGGTCCGAGGGAGAGGAAGTTGCTGCAGGAGAGGGACAGAGGGGACCCGAGAGTGGCCCGGGCTGCCAGGGTGGCGGGAGCAGGGGGACTGGCAGTGGCCGGAGGCAGGAGGAGCGAGGACGTCCAGGAGCCGGGGGCGGACGTGGCAGTTCCCAGGACAGCAGCAGACCTGCGGTGGCGCTGGAGCCGGACGGCAGTGGCGGCCGCGAGGCTCTCTCTGGAGGAGACGGGCGGAAAGTGAGGAGCAGCTGAGGGAGGGGCGCGGGTCTGCCCGACAGAGCCCCGGGCGGGTGGCCTGAGGGCAGAAGCTCCATCACCATCCCGCAGCCGGAGCCCCAAATCAGGGCGTGGCCGAGGCAGGTCCCCGCGGGCTGGGAAGCCTGTCTCTGCCTCTCCCCTGGCCCCTTCGGGCCTCTCTGCGCGTCACTGTGTCCAAATCCCCCTGTTCTTAAGGACGCCAGTCGGACTGGATGGGGGCGGTCCTCGGCGGCCTCAGCCTGGTGGCCCCAGGTCCTCGGAGAGGGACGGGCCACTGTGGACTGCAGTTCCTGAGCCAGCCCCCTATTCTTGGCTCCTGGGGCCACACTTTGAACACGTGCTGCGGCTCCGGCCTCCCTCCACCGCGGCTCCGGCCTCAGCCACCTCCTCGCGTCGCGGGCTGAGCCACCCCCAGCCCTGTGTCTTTATTTTTTTAGAGGCGGGTCTCACTGAGTTGCTTTTGCCTAGGCTCCTCCGATCCTCCTGCCTCAGCCTCTGGAGATGCTGGATTGCAGGCGGGGGCCACCGGCCAGCCCCCTCTTTCCTTGGGGGCCAGAGACGGCCCCTCTTCCCTGCTCACCCTCTCAGGCAGCCTCATGCTCTCTGAACCCATCTCCGCCTGTGGGTGCCACAGTCCTGCCCAGCGCTGGCTTCTCCGGCTCCGCTGGGCTCTAGATTCACGTCCTGCTTCCCCAATGTCTGCTCCCTTCTCTGCCCACAGCAGGTGGCTCCCACCTCCCCTGGGTCACAGCCCAGGTGCTGCCCTTGGCCCACCCCTTCCTCCCTGTCTCCCTCTCCTCACCCTGCTCCATCCACACAGGGTGGTGCTCCTCCAACACCGGGCTGCCCCAGGGCCTTGGCACAGCTGTACCCTCTGGTTTCTGCCAGGTCTTTCCAAGGGTGGCTTCTTCCTTTCTGCCTTTAAGTCTGGGTGTCACCGTCACCTCCTCAGAGGGACCTTCCCTGACCCTGATTACTTTTTTTTTTTTTAAAGAGAGAGTGAGAGAGGAGAGAGACAGAGAGAGAGAAAGAGAGAGAATTTTAATATTTATTTTTTAGTTCTCTGCGGACACAACATCTTTGTTGGTATGTGGTGCTGAGGATCGAACCCGGGCCGCACGCATGCCAGGCGAGCGCGCTACCGCTTGAGCCACATCCCCAGCCCCACTGATTACTTTTATTTATTTTAATTTTTTTAAAAATTTCTTAGTTGTTGATGGACCGTTATTTTATCTATTTGTATGTGGTGCTGAGAACGGAACCCAGTGCCTCCTGCGTGCCAGGCCAGCGCGCTACCACTGAGCTACCACTGAGCCACGACCCCAGCCCCTGATTACTCTCAAACCTCTCCTTCCCACCTTGGCACTCCGACTCTGCCCCGTGGCTGCCCCTTGTTGCTTCATTAATCTTAGGGATAGTCGCAGAGGCGGTCAGCGGCCGAGGCCTCTCCGGATGCTCCTGGGCTCAGGGCCGTCCTGTTTGCTGAGCGGTTTGCCTCCCTGCTCCCTCTGTGAGTGCTCAGTAAACACGGTTCACAGGCAGCAGGTCCCGGTGGGGGGCAGGTGGGCTTCCAGCTGGGGGGACCTCCCTGGGGGAGGAGCGTCCCTGTCCCTCCCGGGCCTGGCCCACCGGGCTCACCCAGCTGCCAACCATCAAAACACAGAGACATCCCTCAAAATGGCTTCTGGGGCCTGGGTCGCTAGTGCTCCGCAGGCACGCGCCCTGGCTCCCACCCCAGGCCCGCCCGCGCCGGCTTCCTGGGCTGGGAACCTCGGGTGCAGCCCACCCACCGTGTGTGTGTGTGGGGGGGGCTTCAGCGTCAGCCCCTGCCGGCGGCGGGGTGGTGGCCTGGGGAGGCCGTGGGCGCACGGAGAGCTCCGTCTTCCCACCAGGTGTCAGCAGGCTCCCTCCTCAGCATCCCGCCTCCCGCCTCCGCCCCTCCCCGCGGCTCTCGGGTCCCAGACCTCCGCCCGCCACAGCCAGGCACTTCCCCCCCAGAGGCCCTTCATGTCCCCCAGAGGCAGGGTCAGCGGGCTGTTCCACCTGGTGTCCACTGTCCCCGGAGCCTGGGGGATGGGGGAAGAAAGCCAAGGGAGGGAGCGCACAGACCCCCTTTGGTGGCTGAGAAGGACGTGCCAGGAACCACAGACCTGGGTGCTGAGAGCCGCTGTAGGGAAGAGTCCTTTTGTCACTTGGTCAGCCCCCACCCCCACCCCCTGAAGCCAGCACTCGGGCCTCAGCAGCGGCCTCCTCCTTCCGGCCCAAGGAGATCCCGGCGGGGAGAAGGAATTTTAACTTGGTCCAGGAGACAGACAGGGCAAGTGACTTGTCCAAGGTCACACAGCTTACAAATAGCAGAACCAGGATCCAAGGACCGATGTCCCGGCTCTGAGTCTGTGATTCAAACTGGACTAAGTTCAAGGTGACCGAAAAGATAACGCGGACTCTGAGCAGCCATGAGGAGGCCAGCCCCGGACCGGTCAGTGGGAGCCTGGGGAGGGTGGCCCTTCCTTTTCTGTACGTTGAGCTTGCTTTAAAGCGAAACCTCTTCTCTCCCTCTCCTCGGTGGTTTAGATGAGCGGAGGTGGCCCAGTGGTGAGCGCTGCCCAGCGGGACCTGCCTTCGCTCCCCGCGGCGGCCAGACCCGTGGGAGCAGACACCTATGGAAACTGCTAGAATCAAGTGGAGACGCTGCTGGGGATGCAGTTTCCTGGCCTCGGTGACGTCCTGGACGTTGCAGAAACCAGCCGTGGTTTCAGAGCCACGACCTGCTACAGGGGTAAGAAACGACAAGTATAAACGCCGCGGCTTCTCCCCGTCCTCTGTGGTCCTCTGTGGGTGACCCCAGACTTGCAATTAGAAGTTAGTTACAAGAAACAAAATATGGGCTGGGGATGTGGCTCAAGCGGTAGCGCGCTCGCCTAGCATGCGTGCGGCCCGGGTTCGATCCCCAGCAGCACCACATACCAACAATGATGTTGTGTCCGCCGAGAATTAAGAAAAAATAAATAAATGTTAAAATTCTCTCTCTCTCTCTCTCTCTCTCTCTCTCTCTCTCTCTGTGCCCCACTCTCTCTAAAAAAAAAAAAAAAAAAAAAAAAAAATATGACACTTAGCTATCGGTGACCGACAATGGGATGGGGCCAGGGGCCAATCCCAAGGTATCTATGGGAAGTGACCTAGGGGGTCCAGACCCTCGTCATCCCCTCGTCCTCCATTTAAGGATGGGGGAGTGAGGGTCTGCGGCGAGTTCCTCGAGCTGTATTCTGCAGAAAGAGGAGGAGGGAGACATGAACCCTTACTTCTGGCCCGCTCCAGCCTTGCGCCAACCGCACTGCGCCAACAGAGAGGAATTTGGGCACTGATGATCCTTTTATTTATTGGAGCTGGGGATTGAACCCAGGGGCACTTAACCATCCCCCAGCTCTTATTTTTTTGGGGGAGGGGGGTACGGGGGTTGAACTCAGGGGCCCTCGACCACTGAGCCACATCCCAGCCCCATTTTGTATTTTATTTACAGACAGGGTCTCACCCAACTGCTTAGGGCCTCGCTTTTGCTGAGGCTGGCTTTGAGCTGGCGATCCTCCTGCCTCAGCCTCCCCAGACACAGGATTACAGGTGTGGGCCCACCGCACCCAGTTTCGTTTTGTTTTGAATCAGGGTCTGAGGCTGGCCTCAAATTTGCTCTCTTCCTGCCTCAGCCTCCCAAGCTGCCGCGATGACGGATACTTTAACATTAACCTGTGCCCTCAGCCTGGGAACCTGAAGGTCCCTTTGTTCTGGATCCCCCGGGGGCAGGTCGGGGCAGGTCCTGGACGGGCAGCTAGGGGAAGGTCTGAAGTCCCCGGGGACCTCCCACTGGCCCGGTGCTGCCCTCCATGGGGCAGTGGAATGGTGCCTCTGTCTGTGGCCACGTTGTGCCCACCCCTGATTCCTGCCTTCGGGTCGCTAAGTCCACCTACAGCAGCAGGTCACCGCAGCCCGGGGTGCTCTGAGGCTCCTGCTGCCCACTCCTGCCCTGAAGCCGACTACCGATCGCATTTCACAGACTGGAACACCGAGGGCAGAGGCTCCAACCCCACCCCTGGGACGCCCTGGTTCTTTTGAAGAGTTTGGTGGCCGTGCACATGGGAGGGGGTGCGGGGACACCAGGGCCTCCCAGGGCGAGGCAGCGCTCCACCGCGGAGCCGCACCCCAGCCCCGGGTTGATTTTTTAACTGCTGCGTAAAAACTAAAAACTGCCGTGGGAGGCCAGCGCCATATGTGTCGTGTGACACTTAAACCTGCTAAACCCGAGGACACTGGTCTTCTCTGTTGGTGAACACTCAGACCCCTCCCTGCGTCTGAGGGCCCCGGCGCCGCCTTGTCACCTTGTTACCCGAACCAGGGCCGCCTGCTCCAGGAGGTGGCCACAAAGTGGGCTTGTTGTTTTTGTCATGGGGACCAAAGTACAGGAGATGAAGAAGGGGGCGGGCGAGGGAGCGCAGGCAGGACTCCCCTCCCGCTGGCCCCCTGCGCCCTGCACCTCCAGCTCCGCATCTCAAGGCCTCGTCCTGTGGTTCTGGATATTCTTAGCTCTGCACAAACAGTCACCATTGCAGAGACCAAATGTAGCTGAGATGGGTCGCAAGGACTCTCTTCCTATCCCCATCTGCCCACCCACTACAGATTCTGCTGGAAATTTCCTTGTACTGGGTCTCTCTCTCTCTCTCTCTCTGCTAAGTGTATCCTTGCTGTGTGACGTGGGGCAGATGAGTCTCCCTCTCTGAGCCTCAACTTCTTCACCTGTATAATGAGACCACAGTGCGGTGTCCTTGGGGGGCGTTGGGAGGAGCACATAGAGTAGGCTCCTGGGCAGCTCCTGGTCACCATGCCAAGCACCTGAGGCCAAGGAGGAGGAAAGACTTGTTTGTGCTCCCATTCCACAGGGCTCAGCCGGGGATCAGTGGACTCCGTGGCTCCGGGCCTGAGGTGAGACGGCACCCACAGTCTCCAGAAGCCACACAGAGGAGAGCGGCCAGCTCAGGGCAGTGGGGCAGCCCAGAGAGAAGCTGGGGACCAGACCCAGTCCCGGAGGGCACACCTGCCCCGCCCTTCCTCCAGCCGCGCCGCCCGCCCGGGCTCCCACGGCCTCCAGGAGCCCACTCAGCCACGCGTGGCCAACCCGCTGCTGAGGTGGAGCCTCCGGATGTGACTCCTCGGTGCCCACCTCCTCCCCCCCCAGCAGCCCCGGAGCTCCTGCCAGGAGCCAGTGCGCGCCCACCTTCCCGCAGCACCACGGGCACCCGCGGTGGCATGGCAGGCCGGGTTTCCTCAGTGTCCACGGGCACTGCAGCAAGGCTGCCTCAGGAGGGCGGCTGTGGGCCCCGGCCACGCGGAGGTCTGCTCAGCCCAGCGCCCTCCCCGATGGTCACAGCTCCGCTGTCCCCTGTCCTTCTTCCGCGTGTTGCTGGGGCAGAACCCAGCGCCCTGCCCATGCCGGGCACACCCCTAGCCCCAGGCCAGGTGGCTCATGGGAGGGTCCCTGGGGACCACTGGGGGACATCTGCGGACATTGCGGCTGTCAGAACTGGACGCAGGCAGGATGTGCCACAAGCACCCATCTAGTGGGCAGAGGCCCGGGTAGTGATCAAGAGCCTGGAGTGTACAGGGGGTCCCCACCACAGTGAAGGACCCGCTCTCAGATGTCCACTGTGCCGAGGCTGAGAAACCCCAACCTGGATGTCACATAAGGCAGAGGGACTCGGGAAGACCAATGGCCGCTCCTCCTGGTGTCCCACCACAGCTCCCCTGGGGCCATCTGAGTGGGGTGGACTCGACTGCACCGCTCAGACCCATGCCTTGCTGGGCACCTGACCCCCACGTGGGCAAGACACAACTTGCTGCAGGGAGACAGTCGCCACTTGAGAGGGTGTGTCCCCGTGATCCGTGCTCAGTCCCTCCTGTGCCTTAGTTCATCAGTCCTCACAGCCACCCTGAGGGAGCAGGATGCTCTTCGCGCCCATTTCACTGGTGAGAAAACCAGCCTCCCAGCAGGAGCGTCCACGTGGAGCCCAAAGACAAGCCCAGTTCTCTGCAGGGCAGAGCTCACGCCACTGTCACTTTACCCCAGTGAGTCTCCGCTGGGGCCGCTGTGCCCTCTGTTCCCCGACGGGACGGGCAGCTGGCGTGGGTGCCACACTGTAGGGTGCATGGGACGGATGGTGGGTGCTGCCGGCCTGGAGGGGTGGAGGCCAGGGACACTGCTCAGCACCCTGCGGTGCCAGAACACCGCCCCAGAGAGTAACTTGGCCCCAGGGCCCCCAGGGCTGAGGGAGGGAGTCGCCTGGGAAGCCATTATCTCAAGATCTACCGCCTCGCCCTCTGGACGGGAAGGAAAGGGCCCCTGTGGGGGGCTTGAAGGGGCTTCCTGCCGGGTTCCTCACCCGCCCACAGGTCAGGAGGAGGCCAGCTGGGTCCTGCCAGGACCTGACCCAGCACCCTGAACAGTCCCAGCCTCATCACTGTCCCCAACCGTGAATTCTGGGGCACCGTGAGCAGACAGCCAGCTTCCCTGGAGAGGAGGTGGCCCGGGAGAAGGGGGAGTGCCTGCAAAAGCAGGGGACACAGGCTCCTGTGACAGAAAAGGACCTCAGCACCTGGGGATTGGGTAGAAGCAGGGAGGATGCGGCCATCTCCAGGGGAGAGGTCCCCAGAGGCCCTTCTGACCAAGCCTGGCTCCCCGGCGCTCCTCAGGGTCCCCTCTGCCCGGGTCCCACCCACCTCGGGAGACCCAGGGCTCGAACGCGAGGCTGAAGCCGGATCTGGGGCAGCCGCGGGCCGGCTGGACGCCCCGACCTGGGGACACCACCCTGACCGCTCCCTGGACGGCAAACTGAGCGGGGGCGGGGCGGGGGGGGTGTCGTGCTCGGTCCTCCCTTGCCCAGGCTGGGGGAAGGGGCGCTCTCGAGCCAGGGGACCCGGTGGCAGGTGGGGGCGGGGAGACAAAGCCGCCCGGGGCGCTGTTCCGAGCGGCCTCGCTGTCTCCGGCGGAATTAGACCAAATTGCCGCAGCGGCCCTGAGGCTCGGCGCCCGCATTGTCTGGGATGGAGCTGGGCAGCGCGGGAGGGGCCTCCTGCCGGGAGCCCGGGGAGCCAGGCGGAGGCGGCCGCGCAGCCCGCCCACCGCTGGCCGCTGTCGGATCTGGGCTCAGGGGCCAGGGCGGTGGGGAGGGAGGACGCGTGGGCAGGGGGCCATCGGGGGCCAGCGGAAAGGGCAGAGCTCTGTCTCCCCAGGCGCCCCCCGCCCCCAGGCCTGGTTAGGATGATGGGGAGCCGCGCACACGCCCGCGGCCAGGGTCAGCCCCTGGGTCTCTGTCTTCACTGCCCCTGGGGTCCACTCCCAGAGGAGGGACTGTGGGGGCCCTCCCCGCCAGGCTGGTCCCAGGACCCTCGCTGGGGATTCCCCCATCCCGGGTGCCCTCCCTCCGCCCCTCTCTGGCCCACCCCAGCTCTGGAGGCCCCTGCTCCCCAGTCCCAGAGTCTCCCTCCCTTGTCCACTCCCTCCCCTCGCTGACCCTCCCAGGGACTCATCCCTGGTCCGAAGCCCGCTGCCCCTAGAGTTCCCTCCTGGGGGCTTCTCCAGGTCCTCCCCACCTGCGCCCCTCCCCTGGGCTGGACCTGCTGGGGAGGCGCGGATTCTCCCCATCTAGGTTTTGGGGTGTCCTGGGGAGAAGGGCTACTCTCCATCCCTGCTTCTCAGGGTCAGAGGGCAGGGTCACAGCGCTGGGGAGGGCGGGGTGGGTCTCAGGGTGAGATGAGGCAGCGCACCCCGGGGTGCTGTGTCCCCCGCCCCAGTGTGAGCAGCCATTGCTGCCATGGCGACCCGCTCCGCTGCGGCTCCCACTCCCTCGGAGCTGAGCGCACGCGCACAGGCACTCACGCACTCAGGCACACACAGCCCCTGCACACAGCACCCTGCGGGAGACCAGGCTGCAGGGCAGAGATGGCGTGCACAGGGCTGGGGTCTAGGTGAGAGGAGAGATGGGAGAGGGGAGCGAGCCTCCTCATCCCCTGCCCTTCCGCCTCTGTCTCCTGAGTATTCCGGTTGGGAGTTCTGAGGGGGTCCTCAGGCATCCATTGGGTCCCTGGGGAGGCGGCTCACCCTGCAGGAGCTGGGGGAGGAACCCCAACCAGAGCCCAGAAAGCCCAAGTGGGGGGGCAGGGCTCCCACCGCCTTTGATGCCACTGGCCACAGTGACATGAAGACCTTCCCCACCTCCTGAAGGTCCCCACTTCCCGAATGCACCACCCTGGGGTCCAGTCTTGAACACGCGGCCGCTGGCGCTCAGGTCAGACACCCACAGTCAGGGTCACCGGGAAGCACCCACAGGTGCCCACCCCAGGGCGCATCCCTGCGGCTGTGCCTCGCGCTCTGCAGTCTGTGAGCAGCACCCACGCAGCAGCCCGGCCGCCTGCCTGAGTGCTTCCTTCCTCCTCCCTGACTGTCCACCCCTGACAGTCCCTTCCCTGAGTCCCTGGCCCTGGGCCCCGGGGACACCGGAGCTTCAGAGCATCAGGTGAAGGTCAGGCAGACAGAGCTTGGAGGGGGGAGGTGTTTGCCAGGAACCAGGGTGTCAGCAGCCCCAGGAGCAGGAGAGGCAGGGCCAGCCGCCAGCCCAGGGGAGGAGCCCTCTCACTTCACTGGGGCATTTCCTGGTTGCTAAACTGCAGAACTGGTGGTGGGCTTGGGCTTGTGTTTGTGTTTGTTTTTGTTTTTAATATCTCTATTTAAGGCTGGGACTGTGGCTCAGTGGTAGAGCGCTCACCTAGCACCAGCGGGACCTGGGTTCGATCCTCAGCACCACATAAAAATAAAGGCATTGTGTTGTGTCCATCTACACCTAAAAAATAAAATATTAAAAAAAATATCTTGGGGGGCTGGGGATGTGGCTCAAGCGGTAGCGCGCTGGCCTGGCATGCGTGCGGCCCGGGTTCGATCCTCAGCACCACATACCAACAA